AAGGTTGTATGTAACGTAACGTATATTTTGAAATTACGTTTCATATTTATTGAGGCTATAATGAAGTGAGAAAAAGTGTTTTATGTGATAAGCTACTTTTAATTTGTATATGTATCAAGAATCGACCAATATAATTAATTGTACATATGTATGCAGTTTTAACAGTTATAATGTATTTATTTTTAATCGCAAGTAAAGATCACACACGAGTTATGAACATTTTGTGCGAAACAACACATATAAATAAAACAGAAGCTATGATGAAATACAAATGATGTATTAGTACATATTTTAATCCTTATTATATAAAATATGTAACTATGTAATCTATAACATTTCTAGAAATTATAGATATTTTGAGTTAATATTAAATATGAATATTTTGTATATTATTGCCATTGATAGAAATATTTGAATGAACCGCCTTGCATAGACGCCGTATCTAATACTAATGAGATCGACATGCGACATATTAAGGAATGTGTATATACGTGCATAGTGTAATTATATACATATACATACATACTCTGTACATGTGTACATATTTATACAATGTACATATATGTACTTGTTTTCAATTGATATTCATCATCCGCCTATGGCGCTGTATGTACATATTGCTATTGGTCGGTGCGCTGTCAGTCTGCCTCTGCCACTGTGCCACTCACTGCGATTTACAATACAGAACACATACATACAGATACAGTTCAGTTCATGGTTCTTCAGTCTTCAGCCTTCAGTCCTTCAACACTGGTGTGCAATAACATTTCATGACAGAAGGATAGTACGAACAAGGATGTAGAATCTTCCGTGTCTGCAATTCCATTTAATTTCACGTTCTGCTGCAGTGTCAGTAACTGTGAAATAATCTTCCAGTTGTCATTTAATATTTAAATGCTTTAAAACCGTCATATCCTGTTTTCCATTAATGCATTAAACTTGTCGCGTGAATGTACCAGAGGGTAACATGCAAGTGAAATGAAAGTTCTCTGTGTCTTTGACCTAATTCAGTTCCTCGTGCCTTCGAAAGAAAAATGTACATTCCAAAATAGTATAAAAACCATTACATAACGATAATCGAAGATAATAGCATATTGTAAGTCAGTACGTGAGTGAAATAGAAATTTAAATTGCCGTAATGACGAGCGCGGACACACGTGACGTAATCCGTGTCGGATCTCGGAAAAGCGAGGTAAATTCTACAAATATTATTTCCGTTTTAAAAAGGTGAAAGTCTGTTTCCTTTCCTGTCTGTGCGCACTGTGGTTGAATAACGCAATCATCCCAGATTTATGTGCCTCTCGGCTCGAAAGATAATAATAATATTGAATAGATAAACACACGCTGATATTAATCTTGGAAACGAATGAGATATAAAGAAAATGTTTTCATTGTACCCATGAGAAAATATAACTCCCCTCTTTCGAGTTCTCTTATTGAATAGGAGGCGGTGTGCTATTTTATATACATTATGATGCATGATTTGTAGAATATTTCAATTGACGTTTCCAGACAATCTTAATTACTCAGCAGTTTTTAATCAGCTAATCTGTTCTAGTAAGTCATTGATTAGTGAACATTTGTATATGAAACTATTGTAATGTGTTTAATAGTATGTTTTGGATAGATTTGACAATGTTATTTAATTATTTTTGAACGTAAAAACAATTATTGTATAACAATTAAATGAAACATCAGAATTTGATAGCAATATGCATAATTAACCATTTCAGTTGGCATTAATTCAAACAAGGCATGTTATACAGTGTTTGAAAGAGTATCATCCAAAAAAGGAATTTGAAATAGGTACGTGAAATCATTGCAAAAAGTTATTTAAAACATTTAATGTAGTCAATGCTTGAAGTAATATAAAACATTATTTTCAAGATCTCGTTGTAGTTATTACAAATTTTGAAAGTCTGACATAATTCATAAAATATATTTATGCACTTACATAAGTAATATATATACATATGTTATTTGTTTGATGCAACTATATT